AATTTTGAATTTTGAATTTTGAATTTTGAATTTTGAATTTTGAATTTGAATTTGAACCGAAATGACGTCACACCCGTACGATTATCGAATTAAAGTTACCGAACGTCCTATTGTTTAGCAAAGCCAGAATGTAATATGGAAATATGTTATTATTTTAAATAAAATCTGGTTTTTTTTTCAATTTTATTAATTTATTTTAATGCGAGACTAATGCATTTCTATATTTTAGGCTTTTAAAGTCTTAAAAATGTATATAAAAGAATTTAATTTTTTTTTGTAATCTATGTTCGCCGACTAACTCCGTAAACGTTGTTGGATAACGATATATATCCAACCGAACGATTCGATTAAGATATCGAAGAGTTCTGAATCGGGGTCCTGGCCCTGTGCTCTCGTTGTCCGTCCTAAACAATTACTGTGAAATAAGCACAGTACTTCTCTGAACGAATTCTTTCAGAAGGAGGTCTACTGCTACGAAAATACATTTTAAATCAATTGTATAATTCAACCAAAATTCTACAAATTGGTGATAAAGAACCTAGAAATATGTAGATTCGTATTATGTAAATACAACTAAATAGGTAGCTATGTAAATACTATATAGATTTTAAGACTTTATTGGTTATTCACTAATATCAGGTTTCTTACCACGGTATGACTTCTTTTTATTTTCCCGATATTTCGGTACGGTTGCACGCTCCATGGTCACGGGTTGACTAGACGGCGGCAGATGACAGCTTTAAGAGCAGACATATCTGTCTACCCTCTTGCGCTGTCGACGACTACCTTCATCGCGATTTGTTGTGGCGTTACCATTGTCACTCACTTTTTTTCACACAAACCACACTCACTGTATCCACACGCGAAACTAAACTCGAGGTGTTTTTGTTTTTATGACTGCACGCACTAAGGACCGGATTCCATGCACTGGACAGTTTAAAACCATCATGACGGTTAAAAATGTTTTGTACTTCGTGATATCGATGGCTTCTCGTTCCAACCGTGGTATGTAGTGACGTTCTGTCGAGAGTACTTGGGGGCTATGCAACTCGATCCAGTGGTTAGTGTCAGTCTGTGTGAGTTATTGTGCTATAGCCGACTTCTGTGCATCATTGTTTTTTACTGCTCGGATGTGTCCCTTCAAACTATCGACAATTGTTCGTTTAGCCCGACCGATATACGAGCTCCCACAAAAGTGAACTGCAGTTGTGGGAGAGCAACCGTTCCGAAATATCGGGAAAATAAAAAGAAGTCATACCGTGGTAAGAAACCTGATATTAGTGATAATCATTTATGTAAATACTATTAACACCACCCACAAAGGCAAGCAAAGCAAGCTGCTCGTTTCAACAGAAACCAATACTGTCAAATCAGAAACAACCTTTTCGAAAATTTGTTACATAGTGTAAGCACGTTCCGATTTATATTCGTTCCGAATTCGGGAAACGACGGTCCGAAATAACACAGGGATCATTTTATCTCTAAGTGTGAAAAGCGTGGCACACACTGCTTAAGCATGACCTGTAGATTTTAATGTAGCCTAGAGAGTGTAGTAACCTCCGCAGCTTTCACACATCTTGCTTAGCCAGTTTAATGGTTCAAAATTCAAAAGGAAGAAGAAATAGTGGAAATAAATCCGATTTTATTTTATATCCAGTTTTACTTTATATTTGTGTCCTTTTAAATGTTTATCGCGTAAGAGATTTTTGGTAACTGGTAAACGGATCAAAAATTGAAGAGCAGTCGACTGCTCACTTCGGCGATCGAGCCGGGAGTGGCGATGGAACGAAACAAAATCAGAATGGCGAGGCAAAGGGAAGAACGATTCAAAATTTAAAAACGAGTGGCCAGGACCCGGAGAAAAGGCGAAGGTAAAAAGGTGGTATGACAATGTAAGGAGGTCACATCGTCACAAGTGTACATATAACATAGCACTTATTTGTAAATCCAAGATGGCAGACACGATTTTTCAAAAAAATGCTATATGGGTATCATTTTCGAGATATTTGGGGGTGCTCATTACGAATATTGCTTTTGTTTGAACTGTCGTGTCTGCCATCTTGGATTTAGAAATGAGTGCCATATTCGTATTGAACATCCCCAAATATCTCGCAAACGATACCCAACTTGCAATTATTCGAAAAATTGTGCCCGCCATCTTGGATTTAGAAATGAGTGCCATATTCGTATTGAGCATCCCCAAATACCTGGAAAAAGATACCCATATAGCATTTTTTGAAAAATCGTGTCTGCCATCTTGGATTTACAAATCAAAAGGTGGAAAAAAAAGATGGTATGACAATGTAAGGAGGTCACATCGTCACAAGTGTACAAGCGATATTTGTATTTTCTCGGAGTCGAATCGTCGAATGGTGCTCAAGCGACACTTTTCTCTCCGAGTTTTCTGTCGAATACGAAACGGATATAGAGCGCAAACTTGCTAATTCACTAAATCGTCGCTAAACATCCGAGATATAAAATTGGAATATACCGACTATGATAATATCAATTCTGATTAGAATTATCAAGTACCATTTTTAAAAATGAGTCAATTTATTTTCGAATACATATCATGTAAAAAAACAATATGTTTAAATTTTATACTTAGGCCATTGACTTACAATTATATGGACGTCGGGTCCGCGCTAAAAAGTGTCCGAACTTATAGGGCGTTAAAATCGTATACAGAGCGTCATTCACGCTTTAGTCTTCATTTGTTCGACTGACAACGAAGCAAGCAAAATTAGACAGTACTGCGATGACATTACAATTTAAATTCAACGTTTTAGCTTTTTCATATTCCTTTACATGTCACTACGTTTAAATAGGTTGACTTGGGACATTTTTTTCGTGGTTTTTGTATTAGACCCGTCGTCCATTTATTTGTAAGTCAATGTTTTAGGCTTACATATTTGGACTTCCTTTTTTTATTATACCAAGCGACAGAACGCACAAGTCGTGCGCCTGGTGGCACGCCTGTCCATATCGAGTATATAACCAGAAATTGAGGCAAAATAACGGCCATCCATCTCTGGCAACTCATCAGCCAAAGGGGCTTATATCACTTTTAAATGTCAACTCTCATTTGCGCTGAAATCACTAATTACAAAACTGAAATAGTACAGCGCCAACAACTGACCTGTGTGTACGTCCCCGTATATTCCAAAAATATTTTGTATTTATTGTAATAAAGATAATATCTCTAACAATTCAAAGGCTGTTCTATTCGGTGGTGTGGGAAAAACAGCGAAGCATCTAATTACAAAACAAACAGCATCACGTTTCATCTGTAATTAAATATTAAATATGTAATTTTGCCATTTTCGTTTAAAGCTCAAGTTAAACTAGTCGATTTGAAGTGAAACAATTGACGACACCCGTCAATTGTTTCGAATTCGGGCTAGCCAATCGGAACGCAGTTGTCACAGTAATTATTTGGCAGAATAGTTTTCAAACAAATTAAATAACGTTTCGTCTCATTTCTGCTTATAATAATATACTCGATGCCTGCCCATAACAGTCGCAGTGCCACTCAGAGCTTTAAAACGCAAAGATCTGGGGGGTACTGCAAACAATCAACGTAATCACTCTGAGACATAAGTTGACAAGTCCCTTGTGCCTGTAATTTCACCTACCCTTCAAAATCGGAACGCAGTAATGCTCAGATTACTGCTTGGCGACAGAAATAGATAAGGTGGCAGTACTTTCCTGGACGAACTCTTCCACAAGGACCTCTACTGCTAGTAAAGTTTCACGATTTTAGTATATGAGTGCACTGAAAAATCGACTTGCTTATTATCATTTGTAAATATATATACATCTTCAATAATACATATATAATACATTATTATGTGATATAAATAAATAATCAGTATTTTTATCAACCAGATAATGATATTCAATGGAAGTCGGACACAGCCGATTGTTGAAGTACATTATTCCAAGTGTTAGGTGAGTTATTTAATTATATTATTTTTATTATTTATAACAAAGGGAAAGTGGAAAATGAAGAACGGTGGGCCATGTTCTACATCTCGAACCAGGCGTCCATATAGTCGTAGTATGACTATTGGATGACATTCGCTATTTTATTCGCTATTTTATTAAACGAGGTGGCGGACAGAATTGATTTGTTTTCATGTACACTGTGTGAATTCACAGGAATGACTCTTTTTATTGTTTGTTATGTTCAAATATAATATAATTTGTAAATATAGGATAATTGATAGAATTTATGGTTAGCACCTACATGTATATACATAGTACATATTACATTTTTCTTAGTTAGTAGCTTATAAGTCACTTGAGTTGTACTCTATCACATTGGCTATGCATAGCTGTAAGGGTAGATGTATAGTTATAAATAAATTTTTGGGATCACGTCGCCGCATTCCAATAGCAAGTAAATGAGAATAACAAAATTGTTTTTGTTTTTGATTTATTTATTTAAAACACGATACTTAATACAATACTTAATAGTAAAACCCTTTAAAGCGAATCACAGGAGAAGCGGGAATTACTGTTTTTCCTGATCTATCAAACAGGTTAGGTTAGGACTAATCTAAGCCAGAAGGCTCCGCTCACACGAGCTTTGCAAGTCTTAAATGATGTTGCAGACAGAACGACTTATTTCCATGTACTCTGTGTGAATTCACAAGGACAACACTATACGTCATTTGCTAGTACATATTTCGTAATAATTTTAGCGAGTAGTTAATTATTAATACAAAGATCGAACACTCAGTAAAAACTCTCAGAAAAAATTCCTTCGATCCGGTCGGATTCGAACCGACGACGTCTTCTTGCATACCGTGCCAGACGCTATACCAACTAAGCCACGGAACGAACCAACGGACTTCACGAATTTTTCTATGTGCTTGGATCGTATCTTTGTACTTGGTCTTTGAACGACTTTTTAGTCGTAGCGCCATCTATGAGAAATCTATGACAGATTTATCACCCAGTTAGTGCCTTTACAGCTACCAGTCCTGGCGAGAGATGTCGCAATTCACTGTATTAATTAATTTTTTATTGAATTGATGATTTAGTGAATTGATAGACCAGGCGTAAATCTAGTTCGTCTCGTCATTTATACAAAAAAAGGAAATGTTTTTAAGATCCAAGTTCATTATTTTTTTAGTATCATAATGTCCGAAGAAGAGTACAAGGTGAAATTTGAGTACCAGGCTCCACCAGGACTCGAATCCGGAGTACCAGAAAAACAGGAATTAAGAGAGCCCAATTTGAGCGTCGAAAGGCAAGAGGATGGTGTTATTGACAAAGATGAGGAGGTTAGTAACAAAAAGGACTTTATATTAATAAAATTAAGATATATTTAAAATATTTTAAGCATTGTAATAGTAAATAACTATATTAATAGTTATTTGTTATGCAAGTGGAAAGTTGTTGTATGACGCGAGTGCTTGAATTGAAACCAGAGCAAGCGAAGGAAGCAGAGATTGAACCACGAGCGAAACGAGTTTTATATATTTAGAAAAGACATTGAGTTCTATCGTCGCTTGTTTTTTATTTAACTTATTGCATTTGACCCTAACATTGATTACAAATGCCTAATTACATCTAGTATATAACCTGAAATAGAGACGAAATAACGGCTTGGTAACCCATCGGTGATACATCACTTACAAATGTTAACTCTCGTGTGCACTGAAACAGTATAGCGCTAACAACTGACCTTTGTGTACGTCTCCGTATATTCCAAAAAAAAATCTGTAAGCAAAGCTCAAGTTAACTGGACGATTTGAGGTGAAACAATTGACGACACCCCTCAAGTGTTTCGAATTCGGGCCGGGCCTAGCCACAGTTAACGTGCCCGCTATACTCGAGCCAAGCCGCATGTCGTGAACAGATGGCAAACGCCTGGACGGAACGACTCTCTGGGACTGGGAGTATGAGCTGGGAACTAGTGTGGGACGCCGCGTGTGCCGACACACTTGCCTCATGTCATCTCCAGCACACCAGCAAGAAAGATCAGCAGGCGGAAAGAATAAAAAGTAAATTTACGAGGACCACGGCTCCGATCACCTATTTACAGCCTTTGGAGTCGAAACCCTTGACCCGTGGGGTCCCGGTGTCCTTCATCAGTACAAAATTTTATTAAAAAATTTGATAGACTGTCTGGAAAACCCAAGCGCCGGCAGCTACCTTGCCCAACGCGTTAACGTAGCCATAAAAAGGGAGAACGCTGCCAGCATCTTGGGCACCTTGCCGCGGGACCCAATTTTATTCATATAATCTAATCCTAGTAAAAACTTAAATACTTTCTAGTATTTAAACTTTTATTGTACCTTACCAGTGTATTTCAACTTTTGCATAATAAATTATGTAAAAATATTTAACGCAGTGTAGATATAAAATAAATAAAGTATAAGATAATCAAAGGTGCAGAATTACTTCGATAACGTGATAAAAATTGTTAATAATTTACATTACAGACGGGCATTCTCATAATGGAAGAAGACCAACTAACTCCGATTATAAAAATAACAAAACAAGAAACAATCTATACAAAAGGTCCCAATAACGATTTGAAACTACAAATGATCTCTGTACAAGAGGATATTTCGACAAGGCACCTGCATTTGTTCAAAAAACAATTGTTGGTGGAGAATACTGTTACCACTGAAATACAAAAGCTTGATAAACATATTGTAGAAAAAGATACGAAGCTTTCTAAATAAAACGGTATTTAAGTTATTTTCTTGTTTCATTTATTTATTTTGGTTAGTTGCTGTAGAGCTTCTTGTGAAATATCTCGTCTGTGGAAGTACGTCATCGAAGGAGAAGAAATGGTTTAAGTATTTACTATTTCTTGCAAAAAAATATATGATACATTGTCTAAAGAATTTGCTAATGTGTTACACGATACGATGTACTTTATCCGATTATAAATAAAGTCTAAAATGAATTATTTATGAATGCCATACATTGACTTACAATTATATGGACGTCGGGTCCGCGCTAAAAAGTGTCCGAACTTATAGTGCGTTAAAATCGTATACAGAGCGTCATTCACGCTTTAGTCTTCGTTTGTTCGACTGACAGCGAAGCAAGCAAAATTAGACAGTACTGCGATGACATTACAATTTAAATTCACGTGTCACTACGTTTAAATAGGTTGACTTGGGGCATTTTTTTCGTGGTTTTTGTATTAGACCCGTCGTCCATTTATTTGTAAGTCAATGATGCCATATCTAACTTTGCACATAATTTTTATATGGACATATTTCTCTCTAAGAGTCTCGAATGCCTATGGTTGATTCCGAATACCAGTGCAAGTATTGTATCAATAGGTATTTTACAATATACCAATGATTTTTTTTATATCAACTTAACTAAATAGAAACGTATACGAATTTAGAAAAGTTGTTGAGCTCTAAACATGCGAAAAATAGGATTATTACATGATACATTGTTAGCGGTACATAGCAGAGAAAAAGTTACTTGGGTACGTTTACTGCCAATCTTAAACGAGGCGTGGCTTAAGACCCAATATCCTTTATCCCACTTAAGACATCTATTTCAAAGTTGATAATTTTAAACAGTGTGGGATAGTCAATAGTACTTGGTACTTGGTACTTGGTGCAACGGGCTGGTATCCGCAACTCGTTAGTCAATAGTAATAATAGTGATATATAAGATATACTTTTCTTCAAATCGTCGGGGATAGTGCAATTACGCGTAATTGCACTATCCCCGACGTAGCACTGGTAAAAAGCGCGTATCTGCAGTAAACCGAATTTTACAGGGATTTAACGTTATTACTTTGTTATTTCAATGAGCACGAGTTTCTTTTTTGTACATTCTGCGTTAGTTTATGTTGTCCGTAAATTACGCTAGTTTGGTTACCACGAAATTTATCGGATCTGGTTTGGCCACTAAATTACCGAAATGGAAACTCATAATCTAATGCTAGTTACGCGTAATTGCAATGTCCCAGACGAAATGGCCTTAATTTCGTTTGTAAAATAAAACAATTCTGAAATAATGCCAGTGTCCCGGCCGCTCGACTCAAGCTAAATGAACCGTATTAAGTAATACGGGAAACATTTGAATTGAGCTGAGGTAATATCAACTCTTAAGTACTACAGAGAACCTGCTAAACTTTGTTTTTTTTCTGAAGCCCTGTAGTTATAAAATTCATATTTATCCCAAAATTTTCAATATGCCCAGCGCGGTTTGACAACACGCCACGCCTGTCGCCCCGTCAGTCTCCATAGGGCGCTTGTCGACGTCGGATCAAATAATCAAAAACCTTTGTTTTACAATTTTTTATAAGTAAAAAAATCTTTTTATCAGACTATAAGTTAAAATACATTTGTACAATAAAAATGTAAATACCTATTAGAAACTAAATTACAAGAATAAAATTAATAGACTAACTAGGAAACCCAAGGGCCGGCAGCTACCTCAACACAACATCTAGCACTACAAATGGGGAACGCTGCCAGAATCTTAGGCACCTTGCCACGGGGATCCAATTTTACATTTTATCCAAACGGCGAATTAAAACTACGAGACAGTATCCTTAAAAATATAGCGCCTCCAGCATTTTTAATAATACGACGAACAAGTCGTGCGCCTGGTGGTAAGCGACACGCCTGTCCATAACAGTTGGAGTGCCGCTCAGAGCTTTAAATCGTAAAAATCTGAGGGGCACTGCCGCTACCCCCGCTACTTCGAGGCATAAGTTGGTAAGTCCCATGTGCCTGAAATTTCACCCTTTCCCTTTAAAACCGGAACGTAATAATACTTACGTTACCGCTTGGCGGTTGAAATAGGCAAGGTGCCAATGCTTCCCTTTTTTTTTTTTTTTTTTATATTCCGAGGGAATCTGCTTACAGATACCCCGGCCCCGCGGGGGCAGAGCCGGGGTTATGTGGGACTGGGCTGAACCCTGAAGGGGAGCAGCCCGACCGCACTAAACCCCCGGAGTGTTCCTCCCCTCCGCTGTAGGTGGGGGTACGGGTAGGACGAACTCTTCACAAGGAGTTATATTCTTATCCAAACATTCGGCTCGGCTATTCGTTTTTAAGATCTGGCAACCTGACCCTAGCTATTAGAGAGGCGAAAAAATGTATGCCCGAAAATGAAAGCAAGTCAAATCTTTCCCGCAATATCACGTGTGATAATCTAATCCGAGGTGACTACGCGACGTGGGCGCATGCGTACAGCACCATTCGTTCCAACTAGGTTATCACTGCTTTGCTAAGATAACCGGTAAATTAGAAAAGAATTCCAATGTCGCAAAATGAAAATAATGATAATACAAGCAGAGTAAGTTGTTTTGTCGGTACCCACTTTTTTATAAAGGTACACTACTTTTTATAACAGTAGCTGCAGCGCTGGCACCGGCCCATGTAGCACCCGGGTGCAATATATACTCTGGCGCCCTCTATTACAGGCACGTACCAAGGAGTTAATAGTGCGCGGCTATGAGTGTGTGTGCGCTAGGAATGGGTAATATAGCTTTTTCTGAATATCGTATCAAAACTATACATCAATATACGAAATCCAATTTCGAAACTATATACATTTTCTGAAACTATATATCAAATACAGCCCGCGTGCGCGCTGCGTTGACACTTTGGCGTTACTGATATTCGGATTCAGATTTCGAAACTATATAGTATTGGATATAGTTTTACAAGAGTAATGCGGGCCAGTGTTAGTATGCAGTTTCGAAGACGCACCAAAAAATGGTTTCGCGTTGATATCCACGCTGTGGATATCTGATACGAAGTAATCAGTATATAGTTTGGAAAATATATGATTTTCGATATTCGATATTGCCACAATACATAGTTTCAGTAACTTTATACGATTTGTAACGCTCATTCCTAGTGTGCGCGTTGTTGTTTATTATTTATTCATTTATTTATTGCGCATTGGCAATAGAGCCATCCCCTTAAACAGGTAACAAATAGTTATTAATACAAAGATCGAACACTTGGAAATCCGGCCGGATTCGAACCGACGTCTTCTAGCATACTGTGAAGTGAAATTACTCGACTAGTTTGTTATAATTATTAATACAAAGATCGAACACTCAGAAAAATTCCTTCGATCGTTATATTGTGTTAATAAAGACTACCTAATGGTAGGTTTGAACCGGAATGTCTTATTGTCTAATATAGCTTCTTGATATTTACTATTAAATTTAGTACAACCCCGTACAAGGAACCTATTTTTAGGAGACTGAAAAGATAGGTCCAAACACACTGTAATTCATGTATTTTCTTACCCATTACAGGAAATCACTACACATGACCCCATGACCACCAGGGAAGTGTTTGAGAATCCACTGTATTCCGAAGTCTGGAGCGAAGTGATACCAGGGCCCCAGGAGGCCAGACAGATGACAATGGATACACCGACTGATACAGTGTCATTAGACGATAGAAAAGGGAAAAGCAGAATACCAAGATCAAGATTCAAGACAGCAGCTGAGAAAGTGAAACAACAGAAACTTGATAATGAAGAGAGAAAAAAACAAGAAGTAACATATTTTTTTTAATGCTTTACAAACCGACAAACATTAAGTTACATTACATTTAGGATGTTGATGACGTTTAGTAACAGTACTTCTTGCCAACGGGGCTGGCTTATAAAATATAATACTGGAAATAAATTAACAGATAGCGGAGAAAAAACTAAACTTGGTTTACGATGAAAACATATTAATGAAAACCTTAAAATGTATCGACCCAGCACCTCCATTACGACATTCTGTGTACAATGGAGAGTTTAGTGACATTTTCTGTAAACTTTAAGGTTAATAACGTAGCGACGTAGAAAAGTTCCTCAGAAACTTATACATGTAATTGATTTGCAGGTCCAGCTAAACACCAAGAGGCGGTCATCAATACCTAAACTTCAAAAAAGTAAAATAACACCAGCATCTCATAAAGATAGTCATGTGAAGGGAACTTCAAAAGTGAATCCCCCTATTCCTGTCAATAGAGATGACGACGTTGGACAAACTACTGTCACAGCAATTGCTACCGACAAGACAGTCGTGAATAATGAAGTTTTGACAACTGTCAATGTCGATCGAATCGAAATTGATAAAGAAGCTGTTGCTGGCGGTGATGACGAAGTAAAAATAGAACCTATTGAAGATTTCGATCAAATATATGAAGATATCGTGGGCAAGACTAAAGCAATAGATGTTGACAAAATTCTAGAATCAGCAAGAGTTGATGATGTCGACAAAGTGGAATCAAATTTCGAGCAAATTATTCATGATTACGATGAAAATAAGAACCAGCCTATCAAAGTCTATAGATCCAGAATTCCTCTGGTTAAACGGAAAAGTTTGCATGATATAAAATTACCAAAAAAGATTGACAGACGGTTTTCACTTAACGATAATTTAATAGACGGTAATAACACTACTATAGAAACAAAATCAAATCTACCTAATGAAAACCGAAAAGAAACTACAACTGAAGGAAAAATAGACTGCTTTATAATATCTCAACACAAAAATCAAAATGCAAATGAACCTAACGTAATTGATGAAGCTCCTAAACCAAAATTGGTTAAGGAAGCAGCCCAAATAGATAACATAGTGACGCAGTATGATCCCGACAAAGGAGAAAACGCTGTAAATATTGAAGTTAAATCACTTCCTTTAGTAGACATATCTAAAAATCAAGTACAAAGTGAAATTGTTAAAGAAAAAGTTAAAGTAGCGGCTCTTGTTATAAACAAAAATGAAAATTTGGAGCTACCTCATATAAATGAACCAATTAATACTGTTAGTGAGAAAAACAGCGAAAGTAAATCTCCATTAGAAAACAGTGAAATACCAAGCTCTAGTTTGTTGGTAAGGAATATACTAAAAAGTCCCACGCATGAATATAAAAACATGGACAATTATTCAAAACAAGACACTGTCACACTTACAACAGAAGCTGCTAAAATTGCGGATCCCATTAAAGAAAATTACGATTACAATACTGCAGATACTAAAAATGTTATGCATAATGGTACAGAAGACAGTGAAATTACAAATACCACCAACGAAACACGACCAGCAAGTTCTTCTATAACTCCACAAGAAGACGTTTCGCTACAAACAGCACCTTATGAAGATATTACTTCTGACAATATTGATACAAATTTGGAAATTAAAGTAGCGGCAGAGCCTTTGGAAATCATTGATTTTTCAAATGAGCTAAAACATGTTGACAGTGAATTTGTTAAACTGTGTGAAGATATACAGATTGATGACTCATATAGTAAAATTCATCAAATGCATATAAATACGAAAGAAGAACGCACAAATACTCTTCCAGAATTATCTCACAGTCATCACACTGCCTCACATTCTTCTCTACAAGGGCTAGGTGAAGCTATATGGCTAGATGAGGACATCAAAAAAGTAGATGGCACAGATGAAAAACAACACCAAATTAATAAACCAAGAGGTATAAATGAAGATATACTTATATCAAAAGACTACTTTATAACAGAAAACCTTCAAAGTGGTAATGAAGTTTACACAAAACTGAATGATAAAGTGATAGATGCATCTAAAGAAATTAACATAGACGGGTTTGTTAAAGATTCAAATGAAGCTATAACTCTACAAGACGAAATGTTACCCATGCAAGAGATTTCAACTGACAATATTCGTATACATTTGGAAGTTAAAGAAGCAGCTAAACCTTTGCAAATCATTGACTTTTCAAATGAACTAAAACAAGTTGATAATGAATTCGTTGCAGTGCGTAAAGATGTACAAACTGGTGACTTTTATAGCAAAGTTCATCAAATAAATACACAGAAAGTGCCTGCAAACAGCATAAATTTAAGATCAACAGATATCTCTCCTGAAATACCATTCAATCATCCAAACGCTAGGCAGCAATCGCATCTTCAAAGGTTAGATAGTTATAAAGACACTAAACTAATAGATAATGTTGATAAAAAATTAAACCAGATTGATAAAACAGATGATAAAAATGAAGAAAGTCCCCCGGCAAGGGGTAAAATAAGCAGAATTATAAGCAGATTGACTTCTCAAGAACCAGAACAAGATATGTCTAAAAAGATTGCACCTATTGATGACATGCCGAAGAAACGGGAGGTGTCATCCAAGATTGCCATGTTTGAGGTAAGTTTATTCAGGATCTTCTTTTCTAATGGCCGCTCTCGGCAAGTGCCCAGTGACCCGCGATCTATGAAACTCTCTAGCCAAATCACCAACCAAAAACTGATGCTATCTACAAATATATATATTGATTTTACAAAAATCAAACAATAAGAAAACAAACACTGTCAACTCTGTCTGGCTGTCTACCTTGAAGGTCTTCTTCTTATTTAAGATCGCGGCTCTTGTCGGTGAAGGAATCACCGGCTACCTCTGTTCAGCGCCCTAACTTTGATTTCCTAATACGATTAACTTTTTATTCGTCTGACTCCTCTTCTGCCTCGCTATTCTTCGACCTTCCTTTCTATGATACTTCTAAGAAAACTGTCGTCACGTATCAGATGCTTAAACATCTTTCCCCTTCGGTTCTCTCTTGTCTTCACCTCACTCCTCATTGGGATTTCTTCATACAAAGTGTAACCCCTCATATCACAGTCATAAAGCATTAAACCCTAAGTACCCTAGGCTTGCAATAGGTTAAAGACGACCCAAAAATAAGCTATTCTCTCACTAGTTTGAGGACTATACATTCGCTCTGACCCACATAGATTCCGCATTAACGGTTAAACACAGCTATGTATGTTGCCATAAGATTGTGACAATGACCTCACCTAAAACAAACGTAAGAATAATGTAGGAAAAGGGACTCGAGAACTATTTAAATTTTTAAATATAAGTGGCCAGGACCCAGAAAAAAGAGGATGATAAAACAGTGGGATGACGATGAAGAAGGTCCACATCGTCACAAGGGACTCTATTAAGTAAAGCTTTCATCCCAAATCTCAGTCTCAACGATTTTTCTGGCATATTCGAGACGAGACTAATATGTTCTGTCTCGGAAACATTGAGACTTTAGAGACTTAAGTCAGTTAATTAGTCAATAAATAAAAAATCCAAACCAACAGTGATTTTATATTCTAGTTTCAAATGTAGTTTCACGAACATGACAAAATTGTAAAGTAGAGCTTAGTATAATCTGTGATGGTCAAAGGTAATCATTCCTCTCTGTCTAAAACTGCATTAAACGCCCTTTGTATCTTGCGTGCATTGAAATGAAATAAAAAACTTTCCTAAACAATTTTTTCTTTTATAATTAAAGATCAGAAATTATAATATAGTATTAAAATTTATAAATAGTACTCTGGGGCATTACGCCCAGAACGCTGGCAACATTTTAATCGCTGAACTTATTCTTTGGCGGAATAAGTGCCAGCTTTGTAGTAACTGGCCTTTCTACGAGGCGATCCGACAGCTCGTTCGCTAGTTTCGCCTGTGGACCACAAGGTTCCAGGTTTCCAACTGCAAAAGGCACAAAGCTGTAGCAATCAGCAGTTTTATAATTTGACTTAATAAAGAACTTCATTAAAATATCACATTTTTACTGGGTAAATGTACCTTGTACCTAGTATGGAAACTTACTTGAAAATGGTCTAGAAAGTCTCCTATTCCCCGAGATTTTGGACTCTAAAATATAGCGTGACTAACAGCCAACTCCATACAACTTCATACAATAATAAAGTCATAGTCACGTATCATTGCGACTGGAGTCACCGCGTGAAAATCGCCTTAGTACTTCTATCCGTCCAGTTTCTTTTAAATTAAATAAATTCATTATTTATTGGTGTATTTACAGCGACAATCATCTCACGACATCAGGGAATTAAGAAAACCGAAAATCGTCAATGAAATTTTTAAAGTATCTCCAAATAATAGTAACAATAGCAAGCAAAACAATAATAAACAATATACAATTCTAAATCGTAATACCGAAGGTGCAAAATCCAATGGCTACCTGAAAGAAGTCAAAACAATACCCCCATCGTATGATCGAAAAGAGATTCGACAAGAACCTAAATTTATAGAAAAAGCACAAGTTATTCCGGCTAATAGATTTGTTATATCTGAACAAGACAAAACTGTTCAAAAAAATGAAAATAGTTTTGAAACAAAATCAAAGTACGCTGAAATTGATTCACACAATCAAAAAGAAGTTACTAAAAAGCTTATAATAGAAGAAAACGAGGTGGAGATACGAAAATTAAATGTAGAAGACAGAGTGAGAAATATGCGAGCGAAAGAAGCAATGCGTAGATCAAAATCGTTGGCAGATGTGGAAATAGGTGATGTTGTTAAGGGAAATGTGAATCAAATTTTATATAGAATTAAATCTAAAGACGAATTGAGATTTGAAGAGAAGAAAGAAGTTATTAACGCCAAAGAAAGACCAAGAAAGAAAAGTGTATTGGAGAAGATTGCTCTTTTTGAGGTAAGTGCAACTTTAAATTTCAAATAGCGAGGCTAAAATCTATACATGATTTGTTTTATATTAATTTTGCATGTCTAAAGACAATAATGGCGCGTGCATTCTAGAGTACTATCTAAGGCGTAGCTTTTTGCGTTTAATTGTGGTGCTCAAATATATTATTATTTATGTTTTAACATCAACCCATTTATACATGCAACTGCTGGGCACAACTCTCCTCTCAGGCTAGGGTTTAGGCGTGAGTGGCGAGTCTTAACGGGATCTCACGAGCCGGCATCGGAGGGAGAGGATGCTTACATAGGTTTTTAGTGGGTAGGTCTCCGAGGTTCCATAGGGTCGGGTGGGGTCTCGGAAGAGAACACTTCTAAAAATATAAAAAGACTCATTACCGACCATGGTTGTAATGAGAAGAAAAAAGACATAAGATTTTATTTGGGATATTATAGTCAAGTAAGTTTGCAATCACATGCAAGTGTGACGAAGTAGTAGGAATTACGAACGAGACCCTATTAGAACCCCTATTAAGGTCCTTTCGGATTCGAGGTTCGTAATTCCCGTACATTACATACAATGGTTTTCATTACATTTGCGAAGAAATAAATGCAGGAAAAATAAGTATCGCTTCACAACCAACGATATCTATGTAACAACACAACAATTACAGATTTTGTAAAGGGCGGAATTTGGTTCTTTTTTTTCTTATAATTTTTCATTTATTTATTAAGGCTTTGGCAAAGCCATCAGCCTAAACATGAAGTTTAATTATGTTTCTGTAAATATGGCCGCCACAAAGAGGATAGGCAATTTGAGGCGGCGTGTTTGGAATGACTCGGGATTCCTTAAAACAGGCCGATACGGGCATTTTAGTTCGAGATTCGTATAATGTCGCGTTTTAATCTTCGATTAAAGCACAATAGCACTATCCTATTCCACTTTAAACTAGATTTCACAAAATAATTGAAAGTCAAAATAAAAACGACACTTTTCCCTCCAAAAGGTCCAGAGCGAAACCCTTTTTCTTATAAACAGCTATTCTTCCATAGATAATACAACTCGAACTAAAATGTTACGACAAAATCTCATGCAGCCACAATGCATTAGATATAAAATAAATAATTTCTAAATTCTAAAAATACTGCAGAATTTGAATTCACAAAACAAATTTAGTGAAATTTAGTTAAGTTACAAATGTTTAGTCTTTTTTATACTTTAAGTATAAGCGAACTATATGTTCATATTTTTCGAGCATAAAAATTTTTGGCTTAATCTTGACATAAAAACTCTATGAAACGATAATGTAATAAAAAAAAAACCCCACGGGCATAATTTAGGACCTTACGGTCGACTTTGCCTGCATGCCACGACACTGCTTACGAGCCAGTACGATGAAAAATGTCATGATAGTTCTGTAGACAGAACTAGGTCTAGCAACCGGGCCATAAACCTTAATAAAAAAAGATTGGTTTAAATATAAGCGGTAGGCAGTTGGTCCTTTCTATTCTATCTCTTTGGTTTTTTGGAGTTTATTGGCGTGAATTGTTAACAAAATATACTTTTCACCTCACTAGCTTGGAAAAGTTTTCTTTCTCATTGGAAATCTGCGTGCAAAAGCGTTTTTTCCACGCTAGAAAGGAAAAGATTTTTGAAATTCGAACTTGACGATGGACCGTGGTGCACCTAACTTTTACTTTTACATTACTTATTTATGTTGGTATATTGTATTCTAATTATTAATCTAATAACTATAATTATTATAATTCGTTGAAGAACTAAAATAAATTCAATAATCAGTTAATCACACAAAATTATAAGTATATACAAGCAAGAATAAAAATTGATGAGATGCAAATTCAGAACGCATCCGAAGATAAACTTTTTCTTTATGGATTAAAAAAAACTGATGTTATAAAGTTAAGTAAGTAAAGTAGTAAAGAACCAACCCACACCTCGAGTGAAATTGACTTATGTATTTAGGTAGAACGCCAGACGTGTCCTTTGCCCGCTCACAACAGATCCTGGCAATATACCAAGCCAAAACGGAGAAAATAAAAGTCCTTCAGGGTACCAGCCCTAAATAAGTAACTTTTTAATAGCTAAAAAGAACCATGCTGCTTAACTTCCTACCTATAATGTATTTTTTTAAATATGCTAAATGAATCCATATCACATATACTTAGAATAATAACGCATAGAAACCTAGTCCGCTCTCGCTAAGTGAGGCAAATTGAAGCGCGCCAAAAGGGCCTACACGAGCGGGCGGGCCTTCAGTGCTCAAGGTCAACTTGCACCGCGAACAGATCAAGAATTTTAGCTAAAAATGACGAAATGTACGGTAAATGAGTGTAAAAATACGTCAAACAAAGATAAAATAGATACTAACATCACATTCCATAAGGAAGTAACGCGTTTCAACTTGTATTTTTATATAAATATTCAGTAAAACCGAAAATTAACCTACTACTAAAACTAGCCTACATGAATTTGATTTTTGCCTCACTTGTGACAGTTCGTTTGATATGAAACTATCATTCTATGCCATTGACTTACAATTATATGGACGTCGGGTCCGCGCTAAAAAGTGTCCGCACTTGTAAGGCGCTAAAATCGTATACAGAGCGCGACACTCCGCTTTAGTCTTCATTTGTTCTATGGACAGCGCGATACTGCGATGACATAACAATTTAAATTTCGAATAGGTTGACTTGGGACATTTTTTTCGTGGTTTTTGTATTAGACCCGTCGTCCATTTATTTGTAAGTCAATGTTCTATGCGTTATTATTCTAAGCACATATACTGAAGTGCTGTAGATCTTTGGCGTTTTCATTACGAAAACTAGAACATGGTTCTTGTTATCTTTAAAAGATACATAATGTTTTCTATTTATTGCTATATAATATAATAATTTCCCTATATCATTATCAATGCTACACATAACTCACGTTGTTTGTCTCAAATAACTTACCTATTAATTTCTTCACACTGGTTTTACAAAAATCTAATTGTCTCGAAAGTGACATTTTGTGGGTTGGTTCTAGTTTGCATAACTATGTGCAATTGTTTTTCTTTCATCTACCATTTTCCTCACTGTAGTGAGGTGAAATGTTGTGTGTTTCACTCGGCAGCAAAGTTGTTTTGGGTCTCGTGGCTTGAAACCCTCGCTACGGTCAAGAATCTATTTATACTTCTTTCACTTACTTAGGTTTCAATACAAGCACTAGCGTTAAACAACAACTGTGCTTGCATAACAAATAACTCTTAAATATTGGTTTTGTTTCGTCATTTTATTTACTCGTAGACAAAGTATTGTATGCAATATGCAATCGTTACATAATTCGGTCTTAAAATGTCGAACCTATTAACTCTAAGAACACTATGCAATTACGTCACGACTGCCTAAAATACTATCAAGTTTCTCTTTTAAAGACACTCTCTGGGATTCAAATTTAAATCGCCCTAATCGCACGTTTTTAACCGACTTCAAAAAAGGAGGAGGTTCTCAATTCGACTGTGTGTTCTTTTTTTTGTATGTATGTTACGTGATAACTCCGGTATTTGTGAACCGATTTTCATGATTCTTTTTTTGTCGGAAAAGGGGTACTTCCATAGTGGTCCCATTTCATTTTGAAGAAAATCATCCACCTCGAAATGTGGCTGTTCACGCATGAAGATTCATTTTTATAAATACCGCCTAACTTTAATTTAGGAGCAATTACTTTAATGGTTGTTTTTGCTATTTCTGGAATTTAAGGCGTTTTTCTCTCAATATACTTTGAGTAGTGTCGTAGTGAGAACCTATTTTTATTATCTCCAGTATCAAGTCCTATATAATGGCGAATTAGGGGCTATTTCAATAAAACTTAGCAAATAGACGTAATTCCACGCACTTTTGAGGTCAGTTTTTTTAGTACTCTGTACTGAGATTATTACAGGACAAAGATTCTACTATGAACACGTAACAATTTAACAATTGATCATTTGTATAACCATGTTAATGAGAGATTTGGGCGTAGTCATTAAAAATAAATTACTAATAACATTAGCCGACTTAACCAGCCAATCTTCTCTAGTTAGCACTATCGAAGCGTGGAAGCAATTCGTATTTACTTATTTATTACAAATAATAATAGAGGCAGTCCACCTCCTTGTGAAAAAATTCATCCAGAAAAGTACTGCCATCTTATCTATTTCTGCCGTCAAGCTGTAATGTGAGCATATTGTAAACTATGTACTTTGAAGTGGTGAAACGCTGGAAACATTTCCCCTTTGAATAACTAAACTTATTCTTTGGCGGAAATAACTGCCAGTCTTGTGGTTGCCAAAGGCTTCTACGAAGCGATCTAACAGGTCCCTGAATAAATAATTTTGTAACTGTATAAAGTACGTCCAATCATTGTTAAGAGATATTCCCAAAACTAATGCTCTGATATATGTGATGACATTCAATGCCCTTGAATCACCTCTCTCATCACATCGAACTGCTATTACAATAGTGTTGTAACTCAAAATACGTGAAATTTAAGATTATACCATTGCTTCACGTGAATTTTGATTATTTACACGTCAACATTTACTTACAAATAAATGGACGACGGGTCTAATACAAAAACCACGAAAAAAATGTCCCAAGTCAACCTATTTAAACGTAGTGACATGTAAAGGAATATGAAAAAGCTAAAACGTTGAATTTAAATTGTAATGTCATCGCAGTACTGTCTAATTTTGCTTGCTTCGTTGTCAGTCGAACAAACGAAGACAAAAGCGTGAATGACGCTCTGTATACGATTTTAACGCCCTATAAGTTCGGACACTTTTTAGCGCGGACCAGACGTCCATATAATTGTAAGTCAATGCACGTCAATAAAACTGTCATTGGAATATTGTAACAAACAATTAAAGGGTATCCACTTACCTCAAAATGAGACAAACTTTGTGTGAACTGGTTCTGGATAAAACAGTCCTTGATCAAAAATATGAAATTATTTTTGCCATTTGAATATTAGAATATATGATGTGCGGCTGTGTGCCAGTGTGAAGAGTGCTGTGATCCGTGAATTTTTTTTAAATATCAAGTGACGGGACGAACAACTCGTGCGCCTGATGGTAAGCTACTCGCCTGTCCATAACAGTTGCAGTGCCACTCATAGCTTTAAGTCGCAAAGATCTGAGGGGTACTACCACTTCGCCCGTCACCCTGAGACATAAGTTGACAAGTCCCACGTGCATGTAATTTCACCAGCATGTGGTATAATAAAAAAGTTTTTTGTGTATAATACTGGGTACTGACCTTATTTTAATATTACAGGGAGTGATGGGTTCAATTGTAAGGTATGTTAATAATTTGGATATCCCCAAGAACACATAAACACTACGCCGACGTAATTTAATGTCGTTGTCTGTTTTACATGTAAACAGTCTTATTTATTTGCTAATATTATGCTCCCCAAATTTTGTGAAAAAAAATAAAGAAACATAAAAATGAAATTGGAAAAAATCAAAGAACAACGAATATTGTGAAAAAAATAAACAAAATAAAAACGGAAAATGGCCAAAAATGAAGTTGACGTAATGTTAATTGGAAGTATTGATATGTGTTGACATCCAATGCCGTTGAATGGCCTCTCTCATAAATTTATCTCGCATCATGTGGATGTGGTGCATACAGAAATCTAAAGAAATTTTAGATTTCTGTGGTGGTGCACCTTGAAGCCACTAGTTAATTAAATCTTTGTGCTAAGTTCACTTATTTTCTCGGTTTGAAGCTGATTGAATAAATCCAGATAGAAAACATCCGGCTCCGTTTTAGGACTTAGCAGATAATCAAAATGCTGCTCACTGCTTAAAGTATATTGAGGGAAAGAAAGACGCCTTACAAATAGATTATAGCAAATAAGCCATTAAAATAATTGCTCCTTAGAAATTTTCGGCGCTATTTAAGAAAGAAATCTTCACGCGTTACCAACCTTCAAGTGTTTTTTAACGTTATAACAAATTGTAACCTACCGTCTAAATTTCTATTTTATAACAACAACTAATGGATACCGGCCATTTTGCTCCCATACGTTTTACAATGAAGTCCTGCAGTTTATAGATTTTAAAAGTTTTTTTTGTATAAATTTTTAATTTGTGGTTTCGACAAAATGAATATTTTTTATTGGGTTTGGATGATTCTCCGAGACGGTATCGTATTGCTACTATTTGATGTAAGTTTTTAATTTTTTTAATGTAACGCGATTTTTGTTTCTGGGTTATCAACATCGTTTTCAAATTAGTTTATAACGTAAAAAAACACTAGAAGCTTTGCTGTTGTGGTCAGCAGGACAAAGAAAAATGGAAATTTGTATACCATTAAAGAAACGTACAAACTTTCTAAATCAGAAACCTCTTTATTTAAACACAATAGTATATTTATCAAGTTTTTAGGTCCTGGCGATTGTTACACATAGGAAATTAAACTATTTTTCCGGATTTAAATCGCGTATATTTGTTTTTTCATACAAACCACTTTGCAACCGTGACCATGGGACCTGTAAAGGGTTTTGGTTTGTTTTAAAAAACAATTATACGCGACGTATTTGTAATAGTCTATTTCTAATATGTATAATCGAGTACTAAAAAAACTCACCTCAAAAGTGCGAGGAATTACATCTCTTTGTCAAGTTTTATTCAAATCGGTTACCGGAAAGTGCGCGATACCGGATTCATCCCCTAGTTTGCCACCCTCATGTGGTGGAATTTTTCCTTCAAATTTAAATGGGACCACTTCTAAGGTACCCACTTTCCAACAAAAACTGCCTGATTTATCGCGTAACATACTTACATACAGAAAAAATATACAGTAGAATTGAGAGCGTCCTCTTTTTTTAAAGTCGTTTAAAAATTCTACAAATTGATGATTAAGAGTCTTGAAACGTGTAGATTTGCGAGATTATGTAAATACCACTATAATATAACTAAGTAACTGACAGGTTTTTTTATAATATCAAGTGACACCTGTACATAGCAGTTTCAGTGTCACTCTGCGCCTTAAATCGCGCAAAGATCTGAAGGGCACTGCCACTGCTCCCGTCACCATGCATCGAGTATATAACCAGATATAGAGACGAAATAAGGCCCGTACATTCCTGGTAACTCATCAGTGATACATCACTAATAAACATCAACTCTCGTTTGCACTGAAATATAGACTGCGCCAACAACTGACCTGTGTGTATGTCTCCGTATATTCCAAAAATATTCTGTATTTATTGTAATAAAGAAAACATCTTTAACAATGGCGTGCTGTTCCATTCGGTGGTGTGGGAAAAACAGCAAAACATCTAATTACAAAACAAACGGAATCAAATTTCATCGGTAATTTAATATTAAATATGTAATTTTCCAAATTTCGTACATTATAGCAAAGCTGAAGTTAACTGGTCAATTTGAAGTGAAACAATTGACAACACCCATTGACTACACCTGTCATTGTTTCGAATTCGGGCTAGCCAATCGGAGCGCACTTGTTACAGTAATGATATGGCAGAATAGTTTTCAAACAAATTAAATGAGACTTAATTAATATTTTTGGTTTGTATATTCGATGTCACCATGAAACGTAAATTGACAAGCCCCACGTGCTGTGATGAGGGCTCAACTCTAAAATTACAAATATTCATAGTCAATAAATAACGAACAATAATAGATATATTGTATAATTACAGTTAAAATGATAAATACATTGTATAATTACAGTTAAAATTATAAATACAGTGTATAATTAAAGTTGTAAATATTTTTTTTGTAAATTATGTTAATACAGGCATTATATAGGTAATTTACTAAATACAAATATACCCCCTGGGTTGGAGCAAACAATTAGTACACTCTAAAATTTACAAAGACAAACATAAACATGGACTTGAAATACTTAAAAATAAACAGGAGAGTGTACTGTTGTCACATTACGCAAGAGTTGAAGAGTTCACATCACCTTATGGTTTGATTCTGAACATGTTATCACTTTCTTCTTTATTGAGGAAGTCTGGCATTTCATTATAAATGAATATACATCTATAATGCCGGCTTTCTCTAAAATACATTGCAAAATTAAAGTTATAAATACATTATAATAATAATAATAATAATAACGCACACACTCAACATAGCCCCGCACTAGGGAAACCCTGTGTCACGGGTGCCATGGACACACACATAGACAACCACAAATTACACCCAAACTCACGAGAGAAATAAATGTAGGCCATACAAATATTTCTCCCGGCCCGGGAATCGAACCCGGGGACCTCTGCGTGGTAGCCCGGTATGGTAACCGTCCGGCCACGGAGGCAGTTAAAACATTGTATAATTAACGCTAACAATCGTATTTCAGCGCAAAGAGACTACAGCCCTCCGTCTGCCAACTCCCGCACTATCGCGAACGGAGCCAACGCCAATCGTCCCACCGACTCCCGTCGCACAACTAACCGCACCACCAACTTTCTCTGATGACGAGTACCGCTCCAAGATTAAATCTTTAAACAACGCCAAGTTGAAGTATGGGAATATGGGCAACATGACATACATGAAGCTTGGAAATGGTGCCGACATGCCGGTTATAGCTGTTGGAACTGCTCTAGTAAGTAACGTTGGTTTTTTTATGACACCAATAGCTGGTCTATTATAGTCCATTTGTTTAGGTACTTAACTGATGATGGCTGTGAAATCCGGGATTGTCCCGGAATTTTACTGTCCCAGATTCCAAATACTTAGAAGTTGTTTTTACAAACTTACTAAAGGCCTTTTCATAAAAGAGATCCCCCAGGCGCAGCGCTGTTGTCGAAATATTGATTGCGAATGAAAAATTTCATGAAATTAAAAATACAACGTACTACGACTAAAAACATTATCGAGGCCTATTAATACAAATACCTATTTGTTTTCATATATTTATTGCAACGGTCCGTCTCACTTACCCTAATAGAATTGTCCACTATTTGTTTTCCACCAAAGCTGTGCGAGGTAGCGATAGGTGAGCGGACGGGGTACGGTGCGGTGGGGTGAGCGGTGGTCATACTTTCAGTAGCTCTGGTTTCCTACACCGTTTTGCACACATCTCTCGCTATTTTGTATGTACATACATACAAATACTTAGCTCCGCTAACCCTTTACCACCGGAGCTGCTCAAAGCGAGGCTAGGACAATGTAGTAATTCTATTGGTGGATTTTTTCCTCACACACCGCCTCGCTACGTCGCACATCTCTGGTGGAAAGGCAGCCTTAATGATAAGTCAGTATCTGGCAACCCTAGCCTGGTTGTAAGCCACACGCATACTTAATATAGCTTTAAATTTCGAAAACTTGAAGAACACTGCGCCCATCACCCTGAGACGTACCCTTAGAATATGAAAAAAAGATTAAGGACGTACCACTTGACTTTTTCTTTCGATTAAGAAAGGATGATGACTATGATGATGATACTTAGCCTGTCTACCAAATTCGTATTTATAATTATCGTACAATAATTAAAACTACATTTTTGATAGTAGTCTAGAACCCATCAAAGCAGCAGTTTATTTTGAGTGAAATAAAAATGCTTATTTATAATTCTGTTGCATTTCCGGTTCAGAATTAATTTCAGTTCAGTATTTTTTTTTAATTTCTTGCATGACCTGGATACAAAGTCCTTTAGTCGAAAACAAGAACTCAAAATAGTGGCCATTTACAGAAATATGTTAAGAAATTAATTTTTTCTACCGTACTTATAATAAACTAAACAGTGGAATAAAAAATTAGTTTTTTTTTTAGTTTTGGCCATGTCTTCGTTTAATTATCGGGATTCTCATTAAATATTTTCCATTGTGGTTCCACAACATTATGTTTTCACTTTCTATTAAATAGCTTAGTTCACTTGTTTGAGCTTTCTAAATACGGGAGTCAATATGTTTTCACATTCACATAAATCACATTATTGTCACTTTGAACAAAAACTTTGAATTCGTCATTAAGGATAAACTCTTTTGTAATTTGGTTTAAAATAAGGAATATAGTTCTAACTCTCATCATCACTATTTCTTTCAGCGTATTTTCTTCATAATTTAATTAAAATAAAATTAATCTTTGTAAAAACTGTACTTGTAACTTCAAAAGTCCCTTTATTTAATGTGCTCAATGTTGCCAGTTGTATGAGTTGCAATATACCTTATTGTAAAGGAAAAACTTTGGGACAATATACTTATATATGCGAAATGTAATTCTATAAGTTTCTTCGATTATTTATTAGACAGTTATAGGTTAGAAAAAGTAGTTGTTTTATTATTAAATATGTAAAGATACGCTGCTTTATATGAAAATGAAGGAATAACAATAATAAAAAGAAATAAATATTTATTTTCTCTCACAGCAAATAAATGCAAACTTAAGGTACAGAGTTAACAAAATCTAAATTGTGAGACGCAGGAGCCTAAACTAGGGTACCCCTGTGTCTTAGGTCTCCTGCAGCTTGATTTTGATTGCCTCTTCCGATCGGAAATTGCGTCTTTTCCGAGTTGAGGCGCATAATTGCGATTTACAACCGTCCGATCGGATACTTTTGACATTTCAAATCGGAACAATAGTTGTAGTAATTTAACTCACAAATTAGAAAGATATAGTAGGAATCAGGTTCATCTTCTCGCTCGGAAACCAATCTGATTTCAAGACTACTCGATGGGTTACATTCCTATTTGAATCAAAATCAGGACGCAGGTCCTTACTCTACTTAAGTTAGAAATTACTTTTTTTAACATTTCTTTTTTTCCAATAAATATTTCGATATAATGTTATTAACAGTTTATGTAAGTATTATATAGCTTTTATGAAGGTTTATATCCACATTTATTATAGGAATGTGATCAGAACCTGGGTCTTATGCGCTTTAAAATGCGCCATGGGTAGTTTATGGGCATGCCAGTTTAAGGTTAGGGCATGTCACCTTATTGCATCGGTCATCGTCCTTGCTTACCTCTCGACTACCGTCATAGTTTTCAATTACCTTCCAGCTGGACCCAGTCTTGACTACCCACATCATATCAGCTGCCATAGATCTAGGCTACCGCGCCATCGATTCCGCTTTCATTTATGGAAATGAAAAAGCCGTGGGGGAAGGTATTCGGGCCAAGATTCAAGACGGAACTGTTCAAAGGTACGTGTGAAATGTTTTTTAATCTTATATATTAGTAAGTTACCTTATATATTTAAATTTTTATTGAATTTATGTGAATTTACTCCACTAGTTGAGCTTAGTTGGTATAGCGTCTGCCACGGTATGCTAGAAGACCTCGGTTCGAATTCTGCCGAATCGAAGGAATTTAAATTAAATTTTTGAATTGAATTTTAAACTTGAAATTAAATTTTATAACAAGTTACCTTATATTTTAGTAAGCCACAAGTTTTGTCTACCTTACCTATTTCTGCCACCTTACCTGTTTCTGCCGCGAAGCGGTAATGTGAGTGTAGCCGCCAGACCCAAGTAGAAGATGATGAAGATCCCGACGAGCTCGTAAAATTATAAGACGATTTAAGTTGACTGTAATATATTGGCAATAGGTAGATGGTTTACGGGAGTAGTGCCATTAATCGTTAAACAGTGGTGGTTTCTTAAAGAAGTACAATTCCAAAGCGAACGTCCTTTTTGACCTTTTTGAGTTCATACAAAAAGTTCGTTCAATTGTGGTAGGGGTGAAGTAACATTGTGATAGTTGATTGGTTCAAAAATGGCGCCTACGTAATGTGCTCTTGACGAGCGTTTAGTTAATGCTTTGAAAGTTATATTAAATTTTACTACAAAATTCAGTTGGGTTCGCAACAGTGAGCATATTGTGGGTTATTTGTAAGCTACTTTTGAAGGATTAAAGATGCTGGTGAAATGACAGGCCCATGGGAATTATGTCCGAGGGCATTGACTTACAAATAAATGGACGACGGGTCTAATACAAAAACCACGAAAAAAATGTCTCAAGTCAACCTATTTAAACGTAGTGACATGTAAAGGAATATGAAAAAGCTAAAACGTTGAATTTAAATTGTAATGTCATCGCAGTACTGTCTAATTTTGCTTGCTTCGCTGTCAGTCGAACAAACGAAGACTAAAGCGTGAATGACGCTCTGTATACGATTTTAACGCCCTATAAGATCGGACACTTTTTAACGCGGACCCGACGTCCATATAATTGTATGTCAATGTCCGAGGGTGACGGGCGCAGTGGCAGTGCCCCATGTGCCTATAATTTCACCAGCATCCTTCAAAACGGAACGCAGATAATGCTCAAATTACTGCCTGGCGGCAGCAATAGGTAATGTGGCAGTACTTCCCTCCACTGCTAGTGGTACTTTAATTGTTTTTTCATCGTATAGTCTGATACTAATACCGTCTTACAGCTTGAATATAATTGATATACTCCACTGGAGTATACGTACAAACCCACGGTAGAAAAAAAACAATGGAAGTGCTTTAAGCCTCGATTATTATCAGAACCTCACACATTCTGAATTTGAAACACGGTAACTTGATGTTGATTGGTCGTTGTTTCAAATTAAAAAAAAAAACAAATACTAGATTGTCTTTGAAACTTCAATAACATCAGTACCTATTGTTACAAGTTACAACGTTTTGATATTATATTGAAATTTCAATCAATGTGCTGCCATCTAACGGTTCATTGCTGAACGACGACGAATTGGAGTTAATACATAATTTAGTTCTCCAAAAAAGAAGCGACCATATTGCAGAAGCACAAACTTTACTTACGTTTCTTGTAACAAATTATTTCGATGAACTGAAAATTCTAAATTTATTAATATAAGACTTTCCGATGATATGAAACACTACTTCGGGGAATATTTTTGGTGCGGCTATCATTCTTGCACTCCACAATCTCAGTACAGAGTACTAAAAAAACCGACCTTAAAAAGTACGTGGAATTACGTCTATTTGCTAAGTTTCATTGAAATATCCCCTAGTTCGCCACTATACAGGACTTGATACTGGAGATAATAAAAATAGGTTCTCACTACAACACTACTCAAAGTATATCGAGAGAAAAACGCCTTGAATTGGAGACATAGCAAAATCAACTAAATAATTGTTAAAAATAATTGCTCCTAAATTAAAGTTAGGCACCATTTATAAAAATGAATTTTCATGCGTGAACAGCCACCCTTTGAGGTGGATGATTTTCTTCAAAATGAATTGGGACCACTATGGAAATACCCCCTTTCCAACAAAAAAAGAATCATGAAAATCGGTTCAAAAATACCGGAGTTATCGCGTAACATACATACAAAAAAAAAAAAGAACATACAGTCGAATTGAGAACCTCCTCCTTTTTTGAAGTCGGTTAAAAACAGCGCAATTTTTTAGCATTTTTCTAGGATTTTAGAGAATTTGCACGAAAGAATGACATGACGTACCATGCAAAGCGAAAATGGCGGCCTGACCTCAAGTAGGTCTTTCAAAACCCATAGTTGGCTCGCTTCAGACGCTAACTAACCACTTCTACTGTATTTATTGTTCTGTGTACAAACCTCAGCTACTTGCCCTGGCCGACCAGACGCATCTCATACAAATTGTGATTTATTATAAATCTTTCAGACAAGACCTCTTCATCATCAACAAGCTCTGGAGTACGTTCCACCGGCCTGACTTAGTGGAGAAAGCCTGCCGTGATTCCCTCGAAGCTATGGGCCTTGAGTACTTCGATCTTTACTTGATACATAATCCTATGTCATTTAAGGCAAGTAATAATGAAATGACGTAATTAATAAATAATTAAAATTAAATTTAAAAAATCCTCGATACAAAACAAAGTACGGTCGATGCTAGGCTGCGTACAGATCTGGCGAACGCGTTGCATGTGCGCTGCGAGAGCTGCACGCGTGCTGCACGCGTGCATTTAAATACATTTTAATATTAAGTGGTGCGCAAAAGGCACGCAAGCAGATCGCATAAAAAAGGTACAACTAACATTTTTATCAAAATTCAATTACACACGTATTCGGGACTAGGAAATAAAGGCCTATCTAACTGTTTTTTTTTGTGGCAATATATCTCAAAATTGCGTAATAAATTATTTAATCTGTATCTATTCATTTCAATGTGATTTTCAAGAATTTCGATTTAAGAGAGGCAAAGCATGTAAGCAAACAATAAACATTATATAATAATATCATTACATTTTAACAAATATTGTTGTGGCCGAGTGGATGATGGATGTAACGGCACAGCGTACACGCTGCCAGTTTTGTTAATTATTATTCGTTACATTCATTATTTATTTAAATTATCTTCTGCTTTATATTTGAATTGTTAATTATTATTCGTTACATTAATTATTTATTTAAATTATCTTCTGCTTTATATTTGAATTATTTAACTGCCTTCGTGGCCGAACAGTTACCATGCCGGACTGCCACGCAGAGGTCCCAGGTTCGATTCCCGGGCCGAGAGAAATATTTGTATGGCCTACATTAATTTCTCTCGTGAGTTTGGGTGTAAGTGCGGGAATACACGTCCGATTTTTCCATCCGATAGTCTAATCCGATAATTTAATCGGACGTCCAAGTCGGAAATAGCGTCCGGTTGTCTTAAGGCGCGCTCTCTATACTTTTGCGGGAGTTGAAATACACGTACGATTCTTCCCTCCGATTTGCAGCGTTGCCAATGCTAATTATTCAAAATCCCCAAAAATCAAGATTATAAATTTGGGGAAAGCTAAGGTCATATTTCCCACACGTAATAACATTTATTCATTCTCAGTATTTATTATATTATTATTGTTATGCTTAAAAATAATTATATAAATAATTAAGAAAGTCAAAATGTGCCCATCTATACTTATACGTTGCGCGATAATTAGAAATATACGCAACAAGTTGTATTATGTTTAAACTTTAATATTTAAGCTTGACGAGTGGCAAGTTGTGATATTAAAATACCTACACTCGGCTTTGTTTGGCAACAGCTGGTTTCTTTTTTTCATACCGGGGACCGGCCAAAACGTGAGGAAGGGTCGCGCGCTCAACACGCACCGACTGATCATCATCATTCTATTTAAGAGCCAGGCTCTTGTTGGTGATTGATAGGGGCAGTAGCAATTTTACAATTCAAGACAAAGTGATTCAAATCCTACCGGATAATTCATAAACAAACAAATAAATACTGTTTTTATCAGTGACCATCAATGTAACAAAATGCTAGAATGCGAGTGCACTTTTCCCACATTGCGTAATCCCCACAAAAACCCCAAACGAGTTGTTGAGTTGAAGTTCCCTGCATTTGGGGAATTTCCCACAAATTGGCAACACTGCAGTTAGTTCAGAAAAATTTGACGAAAGAATCGGACGCCTATCGGACGTGTAATTGAGTGTCACATAGGCGACACCGAACTCTTGAACCGTAGCTCAGGTGGTAAGAGCATTACTACGGTACAGCATGTCGTGGATTCAAGTCTCATCGGGTCAAAAAAGATTTTCTGAGTTCGACCTTTATATTAATAATAATAGTCTTACTAAGGTCTTACTATAAGTTTTATATTAATTATCTTGTTTTAAATAAATTAAATTAAAAAAATATATATATTCTACTATTCTCGTTTACTTGCTATTTTAGGAAGGTGGCGACGTGATCCCGAAAATAGCGAATGTCATCCAATACTCAGACTACGATTACATGGACGCCTGGTTCGCAATGGAGAATCTGGTGAGGAAGGACTTGGTGAAGAACATTGGCGTCAGCAACTTCAATTCATCTCAGATCGCGCGCGTTGCAGAGAAGGCGAAGATTAAGCCAGTCGTTAATCAGGTAAGTTTTTAATCTCAGTAATACAGATAAAGCTATCTAATTACACAATACAACGACCACTCGCACAGCGATATTCCGCGAAACCACAGAACTATTGATCTACACTCATATCATAAACCCTCTATGATGTTATTGGCGAGTGGACTGTATAAATGTATGCACTATGATGGAAACACCTTATATGTGCATATAAGGTGTTTCCATCGTAGTATTTAATTTGCATTAAAACACGTTTAATTTGAATAATTGAATATGAAATCATACTCGTACACGTAGGTTGATATTATACATAAAGATATCTACCAAAAAATATTACTTTTGCTTGTATATATACATAATGTAGATACATATTAGAGACTTCGAACGAGCTGGGAACGTTCAATCGTGCGTCCCACTCGAACTTGTACTAAAAGTAGTGAACTTCTTAAGATATCTTAAATCGATGTTTTCGTTTTCAAATTCAAATTCAAAGCTGTTGTTTCGGACATTCATCCATGAGAGCGGTTACATACGACTACTTTTAGCAGCGATGCAGTCGCTAATCGTCTATCTTTACACACGCGCGCGATTCTATGCAGCGATGCAAGCGTGCGACTGCGACGTCTATATCGATGCAATCGCGCCTTTAAGAGGGAGCATGCCAAAAATGTTTTGACATTGGCTCCGCCCAAATTTATGAAACAAATATATGCCTGAAGTTCGCGTGACATGCGACAGGAGATGTTGAATTTTGCGCATTAAAAGTACCAAATTCGATTAAGCGGAATAACTCTAAAATTAAAGGGATTAAAAAAAAATCCGTAGTGACAGTTGTCGATCATGCATAAATATAATTAATTATCTAATTTTTGTCCTAATAACCTGTAGCATTTCGAGGATAAATCGAAAAAATGTGAAAATTAGAGGTCATTTCGTCATTTTTATCTATCGAGGAAACTTTATTGTTTTATGTTTCTGATTAATGTCTATGCTTGAATATACCGTGTTAGTTAAGTTGAATATACCGTGTAAGTAAAGTTACTCATACAATATTTTATTTTTAACTTTAAAGTGGATACACCCCTCTAAAATCAAATCGAAGATTAGGAATTTTTCCTCTGCTCCCTCTTAAATTAGATGCCTGTAGAAGCGCTGCAGTGGCGCGACTGTGGCGTTTAGTAATTTATAGAAAAATAAGTGTATAATAAACTAATTTTCGAAAAAATTGAGTCGTAATGTCCTTAGCAGTGAAAATCCACAGGATTAAAAAGTAGGTATTGTGTAAGTTGCCAATGTTTCGTCTAAAATAGATTTTTACATAGAAATTTGTATTAAGTATGGAATTATACCACATTCGGTATTCTTCGTTTCCGACCACAATTTTATCCCGCTCGCACCGTTCCTACTGTATAAAAGACAGGTGAACTATCAACGCAGACAGTTCCTAGTTCACACTGAACTAAAAAGAACGATGAACTATTAAAACCGTGCAAGAGGAACTAGTTCCTGTCGGTTAGTGTAGGGAATATATTCCTAATAGTCCGTAGTTCATGAACTATACAAGCCTAGTGACTTACGTGACAAAATATTTTATTTCGCCAGTCGTAACATGCGATTCCTGAACACAACATAGAGAGCTTATATGTGTATAGATAAAGCAGTTTATGTAGCTTGTACATAATTAGGCATTAAAACACTTGTGTGATGTTTCTATGAAACTCGCCTGTCGCCTGTACCCGTACTGACCTTAGAAAGAAAGAAACAAAGAACTTTATTCACTGAATTTGAAACACTACACACACTTATATCTAAAATTACAACTAAAAAGAAAACAACAAGTGACTTATTAATTTAAGTTAGTAAGTGTGCGTAGTGGCTCAAGCGAGGAAAAG